CACCCATAGACTCAACACTGCCACCCATAGACTCAACACTGCCACCCATAGACTCAACACTGCCACCCATAGACTCAGCACTGCCACCCATAGACTCAACACTGCCACCCATAGACTCAATACTGCCACCCATAGACTCAACACTGCCACCCATAGACTCAACACTGCCACCCATAGACTCAACACTGCCACTCATAGACTCAACACTGCACCATAGACTCAACACTGCCACCCATAGACTCAACACTGCCACCCATAGACTCAACAACGCCACCCATAGACTCAACACTGCCACCCATAGACTCAACACTGCCACCCATAGACTCAACACTGCCACCCATAGACTCAACACTGCCACCCATAGACTCAACACTGCCACCCATAGACTCAACACTGCCACCCATAGACTCAACACTGCCACCCATAGACTCAACACTGCCACCCATAGACTCAACACTGCCACCCATAGACTCAACACTGCCACCCATAGACTCAACACTGCCACCCATAGACTCAGCACTGCCACCCATAGACTCAACACTGCCACCCATAGACTCAACACTGCCACCCATAGACTCAGCACTGCCACCCATAGACTCAACACTGCCACCCATAGACTCAACACTGCCACCCATAGGCTCAGCACTGCCACCCATAGACTCAACACTGCCACCCATAGACTCAACACTGCCACCCATAGACTCAACACTGCCACCCATAGACTCAACACTGCCACCCATAGACTCAACACTGCCACACATAGACTCAACACTGCCACCCATAGACTCAACACTGCCACCCATAGACTCAACACTGCCACCCATAGACTCAACACTGCCACCCATAGACTCAACACTGCCACCCATAGACTCAACACTGCCACCCATAGACTCAACACTGCCACCCATAGACTCAACACTGCCACCCATAGACTCAACACTGCCACCCATAGACTCAACACTGCCACCCATAGACTCAGCACTGCCACCCATAGACTCAACACTACCACCCATAGACTCAACACTGCCACCCATAGACTCAGCACTGCCACCCATAGGCTCAGCACTGCCACCCATAGACTCAACACTGCCACCCATAGACTCAACACTGCCACCCATAGACTCAACACTACTACCCATAGACTCAACACTGCCACCCATAGACTCAGCACTGCCACCCATAGACTCAACACTGCCACCCATAGTCTCAACACTGCCACCCATAGACTCAACTCTGCCACCCATAGACTCAACATTGCCACTCATAGACTCAACACTGCCACCCATAGACTCAACACTGCCACCCATAGACTCAACACTGCCACCCATAGACTCAACACTGCCACCCATAGACTCAGCACTGCCACCCATAGACTCAACACTGCCACCCATAGACTCAATACTGCCACCCATAGACTCAACACTGCCACCCATAGACTCAACACTGCCACCCATAGACTCAACACTGCCACTCATAGACTCAACACTGCCACCCATAGACTCAACACTGCCACCCATAGACTCAACACTGCCACCCATAGACTCAGCACTGCCACCCATAGACTCAACACTACCACCCATAGACTCAACACTGCCACCCATAGGCTCAGCACTGCCACCCATAGACTCAACACTGCCACACATAGACTCAACACTGCCACCCATAGACTCAACACTGCCACCCATAGACTCAACACTGCCACCCATAGACTCAACACTGCCACCCATAGACTCAACACTGCCACCCATAGACTCAACACTGCCACCCATAGACTCAACACTTCCACCCATAGACTCAGCACTGCCACCCATAGACTCAACACTGCCACCCATAGACTCAACACTGCCACCCATAGACTCAGCACTGCCACCCATAGACTCAACACTACCACCCATAGACTCAACACTGCCACCCATAGACTCAGCACTGCCACCCATAGGCTCAGCACTGCCACCCATAGACTCAACACTGCCACCCATAGACTCAACACTGCCACCCATAGACTCAACACTACTACCCATAGACTCAACACTGCCACCCATAGACTCAGCACTGCCACCCATAGACTCAACACTGCCACCCATAGTCTCAACACTGCCACCCATAGACTCAACTCTGCCACCCATAGACTCAACATTGCCACTCATAGACTCAACACTGCCACCCATAGACTCAACACTGCCACCCATAGACTCAACACTGCCACCCATAGACTCAACACTGCCACCCATAGACTCAGCACTGCCACCCATAGACTCAACACTGCCACCCATAGACTCAATACTGCCACCCATAGACTCAACACTGCCACCCATAGACTCAACACTGCCACCCATAGACTCAACACTGCCACTCATAGACTCAACACTGCCACCCATAGACTCAACACTGCCACCCATAGACTCAACACTGCCACCCATAGACTCAACACTGCCACCCATAGACTCAACACTGCCACACAGACTCAACACTGCCACCCATAGACTCAACACTGCCACCCATAGACTCAACACTGCCACCCATAGACTCAACACTGCCACCCATAGACTCAACACTGCCACCCATAGACTCAACACTGCCACCCATAGACTCAGCACTGCCACCCATAGACTCAACACTGCCACTCATAGACTCAACACTGCCACCCATAGACTCAACACTGCCACCCATAGACTCAACACTGCCACCCATAGACTCAACACTGCCACCCATAGACTCAACACTGCCACCCATAGACTCAACACTGCCACCCATAGACTCAGCACTGCCACCCATAGACTCAACACTGCCACCCATAGACTCAATACTGCCACCCATAGACTCAACACTGCGACCCATAGACTTAACACTTAGACTCATAGACTCAACACTGCCACCCATAGACTCAACACTGTCACCCATAGATTCAACACTGCCACCCATAGACTCAACACTGCCACCCATAGACTCAGCACTGCCACCCATAGACTCATCACTGCCACCCATAGACTCAACCCTGCCACCCATAGACTCAACACTGCCACACATAGACTCAACACTGCCACCCATAGACTCAACACTGCCACCAATAGACTCAACACTGCCACCCATAGACTCAACATTGCCACCCATAGACTCAACATTGCCACCCATAGACTCAACACTGCCACCCATAGACTCAACACTGCCACCCATAGACTCAACACTGCCACCCATAGACTCAACACTGCCACCCATAGACTCAACACTGCCACCCATAGACTCAACACTGCCACCCATAGACTCAACACTGCCACCCATAGACTCAACACTGCCACCCATAGACACAACATTGCCACCCATAGACTCAACACTGCCACCCATAGACTCAACACTGCCACCCATAGACTCAACACTGCCACCCATAGACTCAATACTGCCACCCATAGACTCAACACTACGACCCATAGACTCAACACTGAGACTCATAGACTCAACACTGCCACCCATAGACTCAACACTGCCACCCATAGACTCAACACTGCCACCCATAGACTCAGCACTGCCACACATAGACTCAACACTGCCACCCATAGACTCAACACTGCCACCCATAGACTCAACACTGCCACCCATAGACTCAACACTGCCACCCATAGACTCAACACTGCCACCCATAGACTCAACACTGCCACCCATAGACTCAACACTGCCACCCATAGACTCAACACTGCCACCCATAGACTCAGCGCTGCCACCCATAGACTCAACGCTGCCACCCATAGACTCAACGCTGCCACCCATAGACTCAACACTGCCACCCATAGACTCAACACTGCCACCCATAGACTCAACACTGCAACCCATAGACTCAGCACTGCCACACATAGACTCAACACTGCCACCCATAGACTCAACACTGCCACCCATAGACTCAGCACTGCCACCCATAGGCTCAGCACTGCCACCCATAGACTCAACACTGCCACCCATAGACTCAACACTCCCACCCATAGACTCAACACTACCACCCATAGACTCAACACTGCCACCCATAGACTCAGCACTGCCACCCATAGACTCAACACTGCCACCCATAGACTCAACACTACCACCCATAGACTCAACACTGCCACCCATAGACTCAACACTGCCACCCATAGACTCAACACTGCCACCCATAGACTCAACACTGCCACACATAGACTCAACACTGCCACCCGTAGACTCAACACTGCCACCCATAGACTCAACACTGCCACCCATAGACTCAACACTGCCACCCATATACTCAATACTGCCACCCATAGACTCAACACTGCCACCCATAGACTCAACATTGCCACCCATACTCAACACTGCCACCCATAGACTCAACACTGCCACCCGTAGACTCAATACTGCCACCCATAGACTCAACACTGCCACCCATAGACTCAGCACTGCCACACATAGACTCAACACTGCCACCCATAGACTCAACACTGCCACCCATAGACTCAGCACTGCCACCCATAGGCTCAGCACTGCCACCCATAGACTCAAGACTGCCACCCATAGACTCAACACTCCCACCCATAGACTCAACACTACCACCCATAGACTCAACACTGCCACCCATAGACTCAGCACTGCCACCCATAGACTCAACACTGCCACCCATAGACTCAACACTACCACCCATAGACTCAACACTGCCACCCATAGACTCAACACTGCCACCCATAGACTCAACACTGCCACCCATAGACTCAACACTGCCACACATAGACTCAACACTGCCACCCGTAGACTCAACACTGCCACCCATAGACTCAACACTGCCACCCATAGACTCAACACTGCCACCCATAGACTCAATACTGCCACCCATAGACTCAACACTACGACCCATAGACTCAACACTGAGACTCATAGACTCAACACTGCCACCCATAGACTCAACACTGCCACCCTTAGACTTAACACTCTCACCCATAGACTCAACACTGCCACCCATAGATTCACAATGTGTTTTCCCTCCCCCTCCACCTCCTCCACAGAGTGAAGAGGCCATGTAAGGCTGAAGACTCGAGACAGCCAAAACCAATTGCATGCCGAGTTGCCAAGTTGCCGAGTTGCCGAGTAGTTGTGTTGCTGAGTTTCTAAGTTGCCAGGTTGTTCAGTTTGTGCGTAAATAAGTTACTGGCTGGCTGCGTAGCTGAGTTGTTGAGTTGCTGGGTAGCTGAGTTGCTGGGTAGCTGAGTTGCTGGGTAGTTGAGTTGCTGGGTAGCTGAGTTGCTGGGTAGTTGAGTTACTGGGTAGTTGAGTTGCTGGGTAGCTGAGTTGCTGGGTAGTTGAGTTGCTGGGTAGTTGAGTTGCTGGGTAGCTGAGTTGCTGGGTAGCTGAGTTGCTGGGTAGTTGAGTTGCTGGGTAGCTGAGTTGCTGGGTAATTGAGTTACTGGGTAGCTGAGTTGCTGGATAGTTTAGTTGCTGGGTAGTTGAGTCGCTGGGTAGTTGAGTTGCTGGGTAGCTGAGTTGCTGGGTAGTTGAGTTGCTGGGTAGCTGAGTTGCTGGGTAGTTGAGTTGCTGGGTAGTTGAGTTGCTGGGTAGCTGAGTTGCTGGGTAGCTGAGTTGCTGGGTAGTTGAGTTGCTGGGTAGCTGAGTTGCTGGGTAATTGAGTTACTGGGTAGCTGAGTTGCTGGATAGTTTAGTTGCTGGGTAGTTGAGTCGCTGGGTAGTTGAGTTGCTGGGTAGCTGAGTTGCTGGGTAGTTGAGTTACTGGGTAGTTGAGTTGCTGGGTAGTTGAGTTGCTGGGTAGTTGAGTTGCTGGGTAGCTGAGTTGCTGGGTAGCTGAGTTGCTGAGTAGTTGAGTTGCTGGGTAGCTGAGTTGCTGAGTAGCTGAGTTGCTGGGTAGTTGAGTTGCTGGGTAGTTGAGTTGCTGAGTAGTTGAGTTGCTGGATAGTTGAGTTGCTGGGTAGTTGAGTTGCTGGGTAGTTGAGTTGCTGGGTAGTTGAGTTACTGGGTAGTTGAGTTGCTGGGTAGTTGAGTTGCTGAGTAGTTGAGTTGCTGGGTAGTTGAGTTGCTGGGTAGTTGAGTTGCTGAGTCTGGGCTGTGACTCGTTGCAATAAACGCAGAGAGTTGGCAACTCTCCTTCCGTGTAGACTCATCTGTGTGTGTGTGCACGTGTGTGTGTGTACACGTGTGTGTGTACACGTGTGTGTGTGTACACGTGTGTGTGTACACGTGTGTGTGTGTGCACGTGTGTGTACACGTGTGTGTACACGTGTGTGTGTGTGCACGTGTGTGTGTACACGTGTGTGTGTGTGTACACGTGTGTGTGTACACGTGTGTGTGTACATGTGTGTGTGTGCACGTGTGTGTGTGTACGTGTGTGTGTGTACACGTGTGTGTACACGTGTGTGTGTGTACACGTGTGTGTGTGCACGTGTGTGTGTACACGTGTGTGTGTGTGTGTACACGTGTGTGTGTGTGTACACGTGTTTGTCCGGCAAAACAACCCCCTACCTCCTCGCGGTGCCGGACGCACAACTCTGTCGTGGACAATGCTGTGGGGGGAGGAGCCAATTCCGATTGGCTCCTCCCCTCATGGCGTCTGTGACCACCACAGTGGCTAAACGGGGGCTCTGGACGGGTGCGATGGGCTGGTAACCCCTCCATCTTCAATAAATTTCCACTAAACCACGAATGAATTAAAAATGTAACTAATAAGCTTGTGCCAGAGGCCCCGGGGGGACAGGCGTCTATGACGTCTCCTGGCCAAACCCCATTTGGCGGAGCCAGGAGATTGAATCTCTACCCTCGGGGCTCCTCCAGAAACAACGAAAAGCCACTTCGTGTGGCCACGTTGAATGTTCGAATGCTCACTGCGGAGGAGAGGCTGCCATTCAGGAGGTCCGTTGGACCGGTTCTGGCTCCTGCCACCATAAGGGGTGGACAGTCCTCTACTCGGGGCAGCAGACTGCCAAACAACAGGGTGTGGCTCTTCTTTTGAACAAAAGAATGAAAGGGGCATGGGAACGTGGCAGTGAGGTGTGGGAAGCTGTAAGCCCCAGGCTACTTTTGGCTCGCCTTCCCATCAACCGGAGGCGAGGAGTGGTGGTCGTGGTTACTTATGCCCCCACCGAAGACGAACATCCATGGAGGGATGCAGGCAAAGCCGATGAGTCAGATGCCTTCTATGACCTGTCACAGGTGCTGGCTAAAGTGGCCCCTCGGGATAGAGTCATCTTGTTGGGTGACTTCAATGCCCGAGTTGGTCATGATGCTGGCACCTGGTCTGGAGTGATTGGAGGGCATGGGCCAGATCAGCTCAATAACAACGGTAGGAGGGTGCTAGATTTTTGTGCAGCCCATGGGCTTGTAATTACCAACACGCTGTTCCAGCATCGGCGCATCCAAACAACATCATGGATGCATGCCGGGTCCAAGCAAGAACATCTGCTGGACTACATAGTGACGGACCAACGAATGCGAGCCCATGTCCTTGACACCAGGACCTACCGTGGAGCTGATCTGCCCTCTGACCATCGACTTGTCATCTGTAAGATGCGCCTGCCATTCTTCCACTCCGGTGGTGGGTGTATACCCAGGACCCCATTCCAACCTAAAGTGGCCTGGTCTCAGTTATCTGATGAAAGTTGCAAGCGAGAATTACATCATCGCTTGCGGCTGGGGTTGGCATCGTCCCTCACTCCTCCTGATGTCGAGGGTAAATGGGCGAGGTTTAGGACTGTGACTCATGCAGCTGCAATGGCTGCTTTGGGTACGCGGTCCAGACCTCCCCAGAGACCCTAGCTGACAGAGACGATGTTCAGGATGGTTGAGAAAAAGCGACAGGCCCACTGTCATAGGCTACAGAATCCCACGTCAGAAAATGAGGATGCCTACTGCAGCCTTTACTCGGAGGTTCGGAGAGCCGTGAGGCACTGCAAGGATGGGTGGTGGTCGCGGGTTGCTGAGGAGATGGAGTCTGCCTCAGTGGCCCGCGATCACAAATCTCTATTTAACTCCATCAAAAAAGTAACCTGCAGCGCCACACCTATTACCATCATTAGGGGAAAAAACGGCGATCCAATCTTCGACCACCAGGAACAGGTTTGCAGATTTGCTGAGCTTTTCTGTGAGGTCCTGGGGGAGGAAAAATCCCTCAGCCAGGAAAACATCGTGGGGCAAAGTGGGGATGACCCTGCTGAGGCTGCGGTGCCTTAAATGTTGGAAGAAGTCACCCCCTGTGAGTGGCTGGCAGAGGTGCCATCTGTTGAGGAAGTACTGAAAGTGATCCAGAGTCTGAGACCGGGAAAGGCAGCGGGCAGAGATGATCTCCAAAGCGGAATGCTGAGGGAGGGTGGCGTTTGTGCACAGACTGCCCTATATGACATCATAACAACAGTCTGGACCACTGGACGGGTTCCGCAGGAATGGAAGGATGCCCTGGTGGTCCCCCTCTTTAAGAAGGGGGACCGCACAGACTGTAACAACTACAGGGGCATCTCACTCCTCAGTGTGCCGGGAAAGGTCCTGGCAAGGATTATTCAACATCACTTTGCCAGGCACGCTGAGGAGAGGCTTGCGGAGCCCCAATGCGGTTTCAGGAAAGGGCGGTCCTGCACATATGCCATATTTTCTGTCCGTCTGCTACAGCAGACGTGTAGGGAATTCCAGCAAGACCTACCTCTCTGCTTTATTGACCTGGTCAAGGCCTATGATACCATCAGTAGGCCTGGGCTCTGGGTTCTTCGTGCTTGTGGAGTACCTAACCCTCTGCTCATGATCATTAAGGACCTTCATGATGGTGAGCGGACCCGGGTAATACTACGTGACCGGGAGTCATAGCCATTCCCTGTACACCTTGGGGTGCGACAGGGATGTCTTCTGGCTCCCACATTATTTAACATCTATTTTGACCACGTAGTTCATGAAGCCTTCAATAGCTCTACCGGGGGCATCTCCATATGGTACAGATATAATGGGAGGCTGATCGATGCCCGGGTGCGGTTAAGGGATGGCTTCCTATTGCTCAACCACGTTATGTATGCCGATGATTTGGTAATAGCTGCTTATTCAGAGAAGGAGTTGGAGACGCTGCTGCTGAGACTAGAGCGTGCCATTAAGAGATGGGGCCTTACCATCAGCCCCACCAAAACTAAGCACCTGCCTGGGTATTTTGTACCATCGGACACTCCACCCCCACAACTCCCAATCGGTGATGGGGTAGTTGTGGAGAGAGTTTCCCATACCTGGGCAGTGTGCTTTTGACAGGCTCCAGTTTAACTGCAGAGGTCTCACTCCGAATCAGTCGAGCGGCAATATCTTTTCATCGGTTGCGTAATGCTGTGTGGAAGCTACCTGGTCTGTCGCTCCGCACTAAGCTTCAGGTCTTCTCGGCCACGGTCATTCCCTCCCTTCTCTACGCTTGCGAAACGTGGACCCCCCTAATGGAACATCTTCGCCGGTTAGAAACATTTAGACTTGCCTGCCTACGATCTATCCTGGGTTTAACCAGGCTGGATTGTGTGAGGAGCTCACAAATCCTTGAAAGATCTGGGCAAGGTCCCATCGGTGAGCTCCTCCGGCAGGCAAGGCTGCATTGGCTGGGTCATGTAGCCCACATGCCCAGCCACCGAATGCCGAAACAGCTTTTGTTTGGCTTGATCGAGCTGAGTGGACTTGCCGATGACTGGTACCAGCGGGGTCAAGATCGGCGTCTGTGGAGGAGGCTCGTGAAGGACGCTACTGGGCAGTTGGAGGTAGTCGCCATCCAACAACAACGGAGGGCGGAGGAGCGACGCTCACAACAACGAGCGGAGCGCCGGGTGGCTAAAGCACAGCAGGTTGGCACAGTAGGGGACACAGGTGGTGCATCAGCCAGTCATCTCAGTCATCTTAGTCAGTCGACCCGTGGCACTTGGGTTTTCCCCGTGACCTCCTGCCCGCGGGCGTTCGACACTTCACGTGGCCTCAAAATGCACATGGCTTGGCACAAGCGTTGTGGTGACGTCACCGCCACTTAGTGGCGAATGGCGGTTGTTGTTGTGTGTATACGTGTGTGTGTGTACACGTGTGTGTGTGTGAACGAGTGTGTATGTGTGTACAAATCTTTGAAAGATCTGGGCAAGTTCCCATCGGTGAGCTCCTCCGGCAGGCAAGGCTGCGTTGGCTGGGTCATGTAGCCCGCATGCCCAGCCACCGCATGCCGAAACAGCTTTTGTTTGGCTGGATCGAGGGGGCTAAACGGGCGCGGCACGGGCTAGAGAAGAGATGGAGTGATGTGGTACAGGAGGACGTGGAGCTGAGTGGACTTGCCGATGACTGGCACCAGCGGTGTCAAGATCGGCCTCTGTGGAGGAGGCTCGTGAAGGACGCTACTGGGCAGTTGGAGGCAGTCGCCCTCCAACAACAACGGAGGGCGGAGGAGCGACGCTCACAACAACGAGCGGAGCGCCGGATGGCTAAAGCACAGCAGGTTGTCACAGTAGGGGGCACAGGTGGTGCATCAGCCAGTCATCTCAGTCAGTCGACCCGTGGCACCTGGGTCTGCCCCGTGACCTCCTGCCAGCGGGCGTTCGACACTTCACGTGGCCTGAAGGTGCACATAGCCTGGCACAAGCGTCGTGGTGACGTCACCGCCACTTAGTGGCGAATGGCGGTTGTTGTTGTGGTGTGGTGTGTGAGTGGTGTGTGTAACGCCGTGTGCTTGATAGAACACTGAACACTGTGTTTGTTAGACCACTGTGTGTGTGTGAACGCCGTGTGTGTGTGTGTACACTGTGTGTGTGTGCACGGTGTGTGTGTTTGCACTGTGTGAACGCCGTGTGTACTGTGTGAACACTGTGTTTACTGCCTTATCAGCATTTGCCCCAAAAGTGTTCAAAGATATAGGGGAATGTGTTTACACGATGTGTGTGTGTGATGGGTGTGTGTGGGTGAGTGTGTGGGTGAGTGAGTGACACGGGCTAGAGAAGAGATGGAGTGATGGGTGAGTGGGTGAGTGGCACGGGCTAGAGAAGAGATGGAGTGATGGGTGAGTGGCACGGGCTAGAGAAGAGATTGAATGATGGGTGAGTGGGTGAGTGACACGGGCTAGAGAAGAGATGGAGTGATGTGGTACAGAAGGACGTGGAGCTGAGTGG